TCGGTATCCTCCGCCACTCGGACTACATGAACCTGGCCCAGTGCGAGACCCTGGATGGTGCGCCTCCTTGCCCCCTCGCCGGCCGCCTGCCGCATTGCCAGCTGCCCAAACTGACCCTCCTGCTTTCCATCTCCGCCGGTGGCAGATCTCAAGCTCCACCTCTCTGGCTCGGACTACGGCAACTTCCTCCAGAACGAGCCCTCCCCCCTGGCCACCACCACCATCTCCCAGGTACTTTTCCCCGCGTGCCGGCCCCCCGGTCCACACACACACACACACATACACACACACACACACACACACACTCCCTTCCCCTTCCTCCACCCCCCACGCTCACACGTGCCCCCAACACCTCCTCCCCTTCCCTGTGGCTAGAAATGCACTGAGAAGATGGTCGCCGAGTTCCGCCACCTCCGTGCCAATGCTGTTCCCCCCCTGTCCAAGTTCCTGGACTACATTACGTACGTCCTCTTTCCTGTCCCCCCCTCGCTCCGGCCGGTCCTCCGTCGCGGCTTCCTCGCTGACCCCTGTCTACCCCCCTGCCTCTCGTCCTGCCCTCCCTTGCCCTTTGGCCGGCATACACACACACACACACAACACACACAACACACACAGCTACGGCTACATGATCGACAACATTGTTCTCATCCTGACCGGCACCCTGCATGAGCGCGACACCTCCGAGCTCCTGGAGAAGTGCCACCCCCTGGGCATGTTCGAGGCCCTGCCCTCCCTCTGTGTGGCCACCACCACGGCCGACCTGTACAACTCGGTCATCATCGACACCCCGCTGGCCCCCTACTTCTCGGCCTCCCTCAGCGAGGCGGACCTGGACGAGCTGAACATCGAGATCATCCGTAACACCCTGTACAAGGCCTACCTGGAGGACTTCCACGCCTACTGCCAGCGCCTTGGTGGCACCACCGCCGAGATCATGGGCAAGCTCCTGGCCTTCGAGGCCGACCGCCGTGCCATCAACATCACCATCAACTCCTTCGGCACCGACCTGACCAAGGACGAGCGCTCTCGCCTGTTCCCCACCATTGGCCAGCTGCACCCTGATGGCCTGGCCCGCCTGGCCCGCGCCGATGATGTTGAGGGTGTCGCCGCCGCTTGCAGCCCGTACCCCGAGTACAGCCGCGCCTTTGAGGACGCCGAGGTCGAGGGCAAGTCCCTGGAGGAGTGCTTCTACGCGTGCGTTTGCCCTCTCTCTTCTTCTTCTTTTTTTTTTCGCTTCCCTCCCTCCCCTGTCCCGGCCGCCCCCGTCTCCTCCTGCGACCATTAGAGGGCGCATGCGAGAGGGAGAGAAAGGCGAGGGCGAGGCGAAAGAAAAAGGGCCCGCGCGAGCCAATCTCCCTTTCCTACTAACACACACATGCCCGCCCGTCCCCCCCCCCCCCCGTGCCTCTCCTTTTCAGTTACGAGGTTGAGCTCCTGAAGTCCAGCTTCGAGCAGCATTTCCACTTTGCCACCTTCTACGCCTTCGTCCGCCTGAAGGAGCAGGAGATCCGTAACATCGTCTGGATCGCCGAGTGCATTGCCCAGAGCCAGCGCGACAAGATCAACCACTACATCAACATCTTCAACTAAGTCTCTTTCTCCCTCGCCGACGCCGCGCCGCAAGCCCCGCAGGCCCAGAGCAAGGACGGACGCAACCAGCCGGCGGAGGCCACTGCGTCGGCCTTGGCCCGTGGTGCCCCTCATGCCCCGGCTTTTTCTCCTCCCCTCTCCCGCCACCGCCCTTTCCCCCTTTGCGCGGGATTCCGACATCTGGCGCCGGGGAGGGGGCGGAGGCGGCGGGCCAAGGCCCTGCTTGCGCGTGCGGGCGCACACACCAACACACATACACACACACACACGCGCGCGCGCGCGCGCGTAACATCAGCGCCTCTGTTCCCCTCCCGGAGGAGGTCAGGGGCGTGCTCCCCTCCCTCCCCTCGCCTCTAATAATACAATTTACAAAAGACAGAACATCTCTTCCGATGTGCGGGGCATTTTCTATTACCAAGGCACTCGTGTGCGCGCTGCGGCGTCGCACTGTCCGCGGGCCTTGTCACGGGGGACCTCACCCCTGCATGCATGCATGCACGACCGCCAGGAGAGGGATATGTATCTCCATTTGCCGGGGGGGGGGGGGGAAGGGAGAGAGAAGTTCCCACACAGAGAGGCAGAAAGAGGGGGAGAGAGGGGGAGAGAAACGAGTGGAGGGCGGCAGGAGGGGGAGACCCGGCCACTGGCAGACGCGAAGCAAGGACGCCCCCACTACTCGGCCGTAAGCCGGCCCAGATCCTCGACCAGCAGGGCGCCCAAAGCCGGGTCGGCCACCGGATTGAAGACGCCTCTCCCCGCGGTGGACAGACAGTCGGCCAGGATGGCCACCTGCGCATGCGTCGAAATCGGCTGGCCACCGACACCTCGCTCGCGCAACTGCGTCAGCCCGGCCCCAAAGTCCCCAGCAAGCAGGGCCAGGTGCGCCGAGTCGAAGTCCTCCACGCCGGCCGACGCCTCGGCGGGGGCGGTGGTGGCGGCCGCGGCGCCGGGAGCCGCCAGGTCGGCGCCCGTCGCCTGGATGGCCTCTCGCGCCAGCAGCAAGTGCGTCATCTCCAGCGCGCTCCGGTCGAGGATCGGCTGGCCGTCGGCCGCGGCGCCCGGCTGCAGCACCGCCGAGTAAATGGTCTCGGCCACGGGGGCCAGGGGATCGGCGTGAGAGCCGGCCCGCGAACTTGAGGCCGGCGCTTCCCGCAGGGCATCCAGCGCGATGCGCTGGTGCTCGACGACCGCCGCCAGGTTCGGCGACTTACGAGTCAGCTCGGCATGCGCCGACTCCAGGCTGTCATGGACACGACCGGTGCTCATGATATCTGTCGGTGGACTGGCGGCGAGGGGGACGAAAGCTGGAGTGAGGGAGAATGCAGGGGGGGGGGGCTGGCGAGCAATGAGCGTAAGAAGGGGGGAATGAGGGCTGGGTGGGGAGAGTGCGCTGAGGCGCCGGGCGAGGGGGGGGTAGTGCAAGCTGGTGTCCGAAAAAGGACCACACGCCCCCCCCCTGCAGAAGGGTACGCCAGTGCGCGCAAGGGGGCGCACGCACGAAGAGAGAGATCTGGTCCGGATGGTGGAGAAGGGAGCCAGCGAAGGGCTGGGGGGGGCCGGGGGGGGGGGGACCGCCGGACCGCAGCACAGGGCACCCGGCCGAGTGCGCGTGGGTCGGGCGGCGGGATCTGCATGTGTAGCATGTTCAGATCGTTGGCACCTGCCTCCATGTCTGCCTTATCAGACTGGGATGCGACAAATGTGTGCTTTTATATTATTCCGTCTTTATTCGGGGCACAGATGCTGTGTTCATTTGTGCGTGCGTGTGTCCGGAACGGGACTCTTCCGGCCCACCTGCTCGTCTCCGCGTCTCTTTCACTCAGTGGCAGGATGCGTGCGTGTGTTGCCAGACGCCTGAGCCGCCCATTTGTTGTTGGTGCGTGTTCTATCCCCTATCTCCCGGCTTCCTTGGAGGTATGACCAGCACCGCGCCCGGCTTCGTGTGGTGTTTGGGGGGAAGAAAGGGGGGGGGGGGAGAAAAGGTGGGAAAAGGAGGGAAACGAAGCCAGAGGCGACAGCACGGGGAACAGGGGCCCTTCGTGATGGCGGCGGCCTTTGGGGGGTGTGGGTGATTTATTTGGGAGCGTCGACTCACCTCCTTCAGGGGCCGCTCCGGCGGCCATTTTCTACGGGAGTCGAATCTAGCTCGGTCTAGAAGAGCGGCGTGCCGGGAGGGAGGCCAGCACTGTCAAGAAGAACCACTCGACTGACCGGGGCGGCGTCCACACCGTCAGCTGCGGGCTGGCTGAAGGCCCCAGCGACCACCATGCCGTGGGACTGGATGCCGCGCATCTTGCGGGGCTTGAGGTTGGCCACCAGGACAACGCTCTTGCCCACGAGCTGAGCAGCATGGCGAGGCCAGGGGAGGGTGGGTGTTAGAGGGCGACGGGGGGATTGCCCGCGGGCCATGGCTGCTGGCGTACCTCCTCGGCGGTGTGGGACTCGCGCAGGCCGGAGCACACGGTGCGCGGGGTGCCGGACCCGTCATCCAAGCTGTCGTGGGCACCCGCGTGGCAGGGGGAACCATGCCCATGGGGCAATGCGCGTGTGTCAGGAGGCGGCACGGGGGGGGGAGGGGGGAGAAGCAGGCGGGCAAGGGAGGGCAGGTGACCTGAACGCACGTCAGAACGTAGAGGCGATCGGCATTCGGGTGCGGCTCGGCCTGCAGCACCCGAGCTGATAGGAGTTGCACCTTGGCGAAATCCTCGATGCCGATGGGGGCCGGGGCGGCCGGGGCGGCCGGGGCGGCCGGGGCAGCAGCATCGACCGCCGGGGCGGCGGCAGCTGGAGCAGCGACATCGGCAACGGGCGCGGCAGCATCGGCGGCCGGGGCAGTGGGAGGTGCGACGGCGGCGGCGGCGGCAGCGGCGGCACCCTCACCCGGAGCCGAGCTGAGCATACGCACGGCAAGAGGCCCGAAGCGTGGGACGCCATGCTGTGCATACAGGCGGACGGAGCTGATAGCGCGAATCATTGCAGGCCGGCGATGCGTGGGCGAGGAGGCAGGGCGCGAGTGGGCGGGGCTGGGAGGGGGAGGAAGGGCGAGGGGGATGGGCCTCACCCCGGCGCCTGGCCGCCGGGCTCGTGCGGCCGCCGGGCTCTTGAGGCCGGAGCACGATCGGCATCCGGGCCGCACCGAGATCGCACATGTGTGTATGTGTGTGTGTGCCTGCCCCGGGGCCTGGGGGAACCGGGCCCAGGTGCCAGCGGATCGCGACTAGACGGCCGCGCTCATGGGCCACCGCGGTCCGGCAGGCGGGCAGATCGCGGCGCCTTCGCCACAAAGACCCTTGTGCATTTCCTTCCCCCAGCCTGCTTTTCCCCCCCCCCCCCCCCCCTCCCTCGCGTGCCCTTTTGCCCTTTCCGTGCGGGGTTCCTTTCGCCTCTCGACCTTGGCCTCCCCCGCCCCCCCCTTCTCCCTCCATCCCTTCCTCCCTCCCTCTCTCCCTCCCTCCCTCCATAGCCCGAGCAGTGTGAATGTCGCTCGCAGGCGAACTGGCGGCGCCGGGCGAGGCGTCGGCCCTGGCTCTGGGCCTCGGGGCTCTGGCGCCTGAGTGCGGGCCGGCGGCCAGTGCGTCGGCCGTCATCCTGCCGGCCTCGCCGAACTGGCACTCCTCCAGCGCGGTGGCCGTGCACCCGCGCCTGCCGCTGGTGCTGCTGGCTTGCAAGGATGCCGTGGTTCTGGTGGCGCCGGCGACCGGTGGCGGGTGCCCCTCGGGGCCCTCGCCGGCGGACTTCCGCGTGGTGGCCTGGCACAATATGAATGGCTCGGCCGGGGCGCCCAATCGATCGATCGTCCGCGTGACGGCCGTGGCCTTCGCCCAGAGTGCGGCCGGGGCCGCGGGCCCGGGGGCCTTGCTGGAGGACGCCCTGCCGGCGGTGCGGCTGGTGGCCGGCTTGTCGGACAACCGGGTGGCCCTGTTCCAGGTGGCTCGCGGCGCGGCCGGCGGCCCGCACGGCGGCGCACGCTGGGTCCTCCGGCAGGTGGCCCGCCATGCGGGGCACCGATCGGCCGGGTCCACCGCCGACGGGGACTCCGGCGGGGTGTCTTCCGAGGGCACGGCCGCTGTGCCGGCCGGCGGGCCGGGCGGCCGGGCGCGCGGGAATCGCTCCGCCGGCACGGTGCCCCCCTCGTCAGTGACTACGGTCAGCGCGTCGGCCGACTCGCCGTGGGTGGTGTCCGGCGATGGGCTGGGCCGGGTGGTGGTTTGGCGCCTGCCATCGGGCGATGCTTCCGCCGGGCCGGACCCAGTGGCCGGCCTCCTTGACAGCCTTGTCCAGCCTGCCGGGCCGGCGAGCGACCCGGCAGCTCGGCGATTGCTGGAGCAGTCGCGCTTCCCGGCCCAGACGCACGGCGGGTCCGAGCAGACGGGCTACTGGTCGCGATTGCAATTGATCGGCGCGGCGACGGGCCCGGCGTCGGCCGGCGCCTCCTCCGGGTCGACCGTGCGCGGGGGCGGCAGCGGTGCCCGCGGTCGCGGGCCACGGGCCGCTGTCGGCGGATCTTCCGGCGGTGTGGCGGCCATCTGCTCGGATTGGGCCCCCTTCGCCGTGCCGGTCTTCGCCATCGGGTGCGTGCTCGAGGCCCCGTCGTTCCCGGCGCTGTGGGCTCTTGACTGACCCTTTCCCTCGCTCCTCGCTCCTCGGGACGACGCCGATGATGATGGTGTGCGTTTGTGTGTATTTCTGTGTGTGTATTTCTGTGTGTGTATTTCTGTGTGTGTATTTCTGTG